TAGGCGGGGGGGGAGGGGAGGGGAGAGAAGGGGGAACGAAGGGGACGCGCAAAATCCGCTCCTCAAGTTAGATAACAGCCCTTAACTTTCCCGGGTTTTCGTGAAGAAATCACTCCTTTCATCCGACATCCCTTTCCTTGCTGCTATGGCCGTTTGGACGGCGGCAGTCCGCTGTCGCGCCTGCAAGACCCGGCACTTTAGGCCTGAAGGGACCTGGTGTGCCAAGCAAACGTGGGCATCGCGGGGTGACTCTGGCAGCTGGAGGACCTGCCCCCCATCTGCTCCCTTGGCTTGCGCTCGGCCCCGTGGAAACGGCTCGCCCCCGAGCTCCTTGCTCTCCCCCGGCGCTGCTCAAAGCAACGCCGAGCCTCCGGGGAGCCTGTGAGAACCGACAACCAAAAAAAATCTATTCCCAAACTTGACGTTTCTTCTCGCCCGTTTTTTCATCTTAGCTTGAGCTGTATTCACTCCATCCTTTATCATTTAGTTATTTATTATTTATTTTGACGCTACATTCGATCCCGGGAATCGAATTAACTCCCGGCGACTTGTTATATTTTCCCTAGACAGGGTTTCGCTTGACTTCACATATTTTTTTCCGTGCTCCGAATAGATAGTGAAAGCACATGGTGCTTCACCTTTGCAAATGCAGCCCTTATTTCCTTTCTCTACGAGCCCCCTGCGCCACGCACGACCTAAGAGTGTGTGAGCAGCTACCATCCCACCTCAGCCTGGAAGGCAGAGTGAAGAGACGAGCAGAAATGAAATGCTAGTTGCCATCTAGACCACTGGCCGGGATTTGTACGTAGCGGATTGTTCTCTCTATATAGCTATAGCGGCAAAAAGGAATGGGAAAAAAGAACAAAAACAAAAACCAAAACAAAGACCCCAAATCCTTTCCAGAGACAAGGCACTCGCGGTGCCGGAGGATGTCTGAATCTCTTTGCCCCCGCTGCAGCGCGCCCCGCTCTCGGCACCGGCTTCGTGCCGGCGCCGCCTGCCCAGATACGCCGCTTCAGACACGAGTCGTTTTGAAAGGAAACTTCAAAACACCCCGAGATGGTACTTCTACAGGGCCAAACACCGACTTCACCGACAAACACAAGTAATATATGACATGAATGACGTTTTCAAAACACCCCCTCATCCTGCACTCCCCGGATTTAAAGCCCCTTTTCGAATACTCTGAGGGGAGTGGGGGGGGAATTTAGTTATCAGGAGTCCCTAGGAAATCTGGGTGCGGAGGAGAGAAGTGTCGGAGTTGTTACCTCTCTGCATTTAGAGCTATGTGTTTCCTAATGGCTCCCCGCTCTTCAAACAGTTAATTCTCCCGGCCGGTGTCCCAGGACTCAGATGGCCAAAATTCTTAGCCCCGAAGCCCGAGTCTCCCTCCCCTCCCCATTGGGTTGCAGCTTTTGGGTCTCTCTCGATCTCTCCCTCCTATTGGCCGGGGACATTTTTTTTTTCATTATTTTTTTTTCTTGACAGGCGCACGCAGCCTGCCTAACTCTTGGAGGAAAAAAAAATCCCAGAAGTTTGGATCAATCAGAGAGAGACAGAAGGAAAGGGGAGAAGGAAAAAAAAAAAAAGATGAAATCCAGCCTGCAGCCCCTCTGAGCAAGTGCTGGGGACCTGGGCTGTGCACACCCTCCCGGCTCTGCCTACGGAGTATCTGCAACCTCATGTAGTTCCTTCAGGAGACTGAGTGTTTCTGCTGGGGGTGCAGCTGGGGAGGGGTGGGGGGAGAAAGAGGCGAGAGGCTCTGCCTCTGGTCCCCGAGCTCTGCGCTCCCAGCCACTGGTTGCTCATCTGCCCAAGGGTCTGGGCTGGGGGATAAGATGAGTGAGAGGCGAAGATCGGCGGTGGCCCTCAGCTCCCGAGCGCACGCTTTCTCAGTAGAAGCCTTGATTGGGACAAATAAAAAGAGGAAACTGCGAGACTGGGAGGACAAGGGGCTGGATTTGTCCATGGAAAGCCTCAGCCCCAATGGCCAGCTAGGGGACAATGAAGACCCGACTCAGTGCCTGGACCTCAACCCCGGTTAGTGCAACTCCTTTCTCTACGCCGACCCCCACTCCCTTTTCTCTGCCTTTAGCTCTCCACTGGCCCGGCCGGGGGCTGCCCGCCGCAGCCCCTCTGCCCGCCTGCGCGGGCGCGCCGCGCTCCTCCGCGCTCCTCCGTGCTGCCCAGCCGCGCGTCCAGGAAAACATCTGGCATTTGGGTGGGGGAAAATCTGCGGACATTTTTTTTTTTGATTTTTTTTTTCGGTTTACAGGGACTTTTCTCCCACCCACTCCGAACTTTTTGCCCCCTAACTTCATGACCTCCCGGGAGGGAACGGCGTGCTCCCCCCCTTCCTCCTTCTCCCTTTCTCCTCCCTCCCTCTGTGTCTGCCGTTCGCGCTCGTACTTCCTGGGTGTCTCGGGACGCGCGTTTCGCCTTGCTCTGCCCTGCCCCGGCGCGTCCCGACCATTGCAGGGGTGCGTCGGGGGCAAACGAGGGGGGGGCACAACACTCACCGCTGCGGGAGAGATCTCTCCTCTTTTGTACGGCTTTCCAAACGCTCCCCCCTCCGAACCCTCCCCCCCTCAAGTCTGCCCCGTGGAAATCGTGCTGTCCCAACCGGAGATTTTGGTGGAGGCAGAGCCGGGCGCGCCGGACCGACGCCGTCCCGATGCGCAGCCTCCGCGCAAAGCGG